CCTTGCAGTGGTCATCTAGATAGTGTGCCAGGACAATTCTGCTATTTTGGAAATTATATGAGCAAAATTACAAAGCACTTTATACTGAAATTAAAGTAAGCATCAGTTACTTCTGGACTTAATGTCTACAAAACATTATTTTTAAGAGGTTCTGTCATAATAAAGGTGCTGTAAAACCGTAATTGTATGCAAATGTGCTTTTTAAAAAGAAAAAGGTGGGTGTTTTTGTTTTTTCATCTGTATTTCTTCTGAGCCAGTTGGTCAGGCTCAATCAAATTTGAAGGAGGAACAGGCGTCTCCAGGACACCAAGCTTATGTGCCTTTTGCAAGGAGGCTGGGCCATGTTCCTGCAGAACTACTAGAGAGAAGGCGGCGAGCGCAGCCGCTCTGTGTTTTGCTTGGCAGCAGATGTCCGGGCAGAGAGCCAGTGTCCTGGCTTTGAGCCACAAGCTGGACACAGAACAGGATGGGTAGGGGGGACGACAGAAGTTCACGGGAAACTGGATTGCATAAATTCATGCCCGTGGATTATTCTTAATTTGGTGATAATGAAATTATCCACCCCTCCCTCAAAAAAGAACACGTTCAAATGTATTCCTTGGAGAACTGTGCATCTCAAATTTGTCAGTGCTCTGTTAAGTCATAAGAATGTGAAAAGAAGTTGACTAAAAAGTGATTACAAGTAATTGAAACAAGCAGATTTTCCATTTTCACTGGAAGAAAAGTAATCAAAGATTTATGGTGGTTTTTTTTTTTAACTGGAAGGAACTGATTCTTCCCCGAAATCTTAATGGGTAGAATTGTGGTTTTTACTGACTCTGTTCTAGGAGAATTTTGCAAATAAATGCTTTGGTAACAAAGGTGATAAGATGCACGCTAACTCTGGTGAGTGTACGTTTGTTGTTGGCACTAAATTTTCACCGTTGTTTTTGTTCAAGCTTCATGATAACCTTTGTATTCAAAGTTTATCATATATTTATTGCCATGCAAAGTAGTGTAAAGTGAATAGCTTTCCAAGTAGTTATTTATATCTGAAAATATACTAGTCAGAATCAAAATGTGAAATAACAGTATTTGTAACACACTTTTTGTGTGATAAATGACAAAGGTTCTCCTTGATTATTTTTAAGTTCCCTGTCAACTGGATTACTTGTAACAATATTTACCAAATTATTAGGAATACTCGGGGGGAGTGGGTGGGAAGACTTCATAATACCGTTGTGTTCATTTGCAACTGTCTGGACTTAAGTCCTCTTTTGTTGTCTCTCCCTGTCAGTTTGTTGGACCTTTTTCTATATTGCCTTATTTACACCTCTGCAAGATGGGCACTATGCTACTGTGCTGGATTGGTACCATTCTGTACCCATTTCTCTGCGGAGGAGGAGGATTGGGTTCCTAACAGATGCCTTTGATCCTTAGTGCTTAATTACATTGTGATACCTTCCAATCATATTCTCTTGCTGATACTGAGGATGCAACTGATACTGGTTTAGTCATTTGACCTTACCTGACTGAATCCTTGTAAGCCTTTGCCTCTCACCAGTGATGGCATGGGGACTTGGGATTCAGCTCTCTGATGTGCAACATCCAGGTTAGATGCCTAGGTAGAGAGTGTGTCTCCTCCTCTTTTCGGTGCCTTGCACTCTGAACCTATTTACATTCCATATTTTCTCTGTTTTAAAAAAGTAAACGTTTGATTTAATTTAATTCTCTTTCGTTTGTGTGTGTCAGTGGCAGAATACCATTGTTCAGCCAGTACGTAGATATACCGCCAAATGCAAGTCATTTGTTTTCCTTGACACCTCGTCTTTTGTCATCCATACCTTTGCTTTCAACCTTAGTTTAGGCTGCTGTCACTCTTTGCTGGAGCCTATGCAGAATATCATGGTTTATTTTCTCACGTGTACAGAAAAAATAGCCTTATCTGTCCCACTCATAAACAATAACGTTGGCTGTGAATTAATTTTCCAGTTCAGTACAAAAATCAGCCTCCTTGTCTTTACAAGCTCCATGAACTTGTTTTGTTTTACTTCCTGGCCCATCTTTCTCCCCCTGCCACACCCCCTCACCCCCCTTTTTTTTGTTGTATTCAGGCCTTGTCTTTGCAGCATCTGCCTTCAGGAACAGCACTCCTCCCTGGTATTGTTCCATCAACCCCAGATGGAGTCAAGGCACATAGACTGCAAGTTTATTATGCGTGCAATACAATGGCAGTGTTACCTGTGTAAACACTGAGTAAAACTGAATAAAGATAATTTAGTCCTTACTAACTATGTGCTTGATGAGGATTGCAACCTTTGGCTGCTTTTGCTATTGCTTTAACAGAAATCAGTGTTTTCCTCTTGTGTGTCTTTATTTTAAGTGCTGTTTTCTAGTGTCAGTGCTGATCCTACACATTTGACTAAACATCCCATGACTCTGTCAACACAAAAAACAAACGAACACAAAAACGAAACAAAATGATAATAAAAATAAAAACCCATCCAAGAATCAATCTTTTTGCTGGCGAGGTAAAAAGTGAGGGACCATTAGCAAGTATCTTCAAATCCAAAGAGAATTATGCTTTCCCCATCCTAGCTGTTCAAGTCTCTTGAAGGCAACGTGGCCTCATGTGCACAGCTCCAATTATCAAATTTTTGTATGTGTCATCAGTGAGGAATCTATGACTTATAGGACAAAAATAAGTGTTCTATTTTGGTTAATCTGTTACACAACAGTAGATTTTGCATGTTACTTACCTCGTCTTTTATTTTTTTAAAACGTGTACCCAGACTGCAAAGAATTGATCAGGAAGATAATTTCTGAGAAACCCAAATTTAAACTATAGTTATTCTAGGATTAGCCTAGAGGTTGAACAGTTAAGTGTCTTGAGTTGTGGTTAGGATTTAACGACAGAAGAGAGAACTCTCTGTTAGTTGTCTTGTGAAATAGATGCTTCTAAATGCCAGACTTGTCCCAAAAATACATTTCCCAGTATTTCCTAACACGTTTGCAGAATGTGCTTTCTTAGCAGATCTACCTGTTATTCAATTTCTACATTAAAACAAGAGATTTTAATATTCTCTCATTGTGGTCGTGTTCAGGAGTGTCTAGCATAGAATAATATATTAATTGTAAAAGCATATATTGTATCATGAAAGCCAGAAGAAAATTGAGTCCAGGATGTGGATTGCTGTTCTGGAGGCTTCAATGACTGTGTAGGGAGTCTAAAATCTTAATTCAGGGATCAGATTAGAAGGGCAATGTTGTAGAGGGTGAATACCTCCCAAAACGTATTAAAGTAATATTGACATTTGTTTTCTTTTAATTTACTGCAAACATTAAGTCCGGTGGCAAAAAGAAAGTTAGCAAAGCTGAACAACTGAGATTACAGAAAGAAGAAGAAGAAAGGAGGCTGAAAGAGGAAGGTACTGTGCACTTCATTTACAGGGAATGTGATGGCACAAATCACTTGTTTTAAATAAATGGACAGAAAGTAATCTCCCAAACTATATGTGCACCAATATCTATATTTCACAAATACAGGTGATTCATCCCTCTTTTCTTGTGTGGGCCAAATTCTGTGTTACTTGTTACCACCTCCCACACCTCACTTTCCTATTAGAGCCATACTCTTTTCTCTAGTTACTTCTACTGTGATTAGGAACTTGGGAAGGAAGATGGCTGGAAGAATGAAAATTTTTTTTTTCTCTCTTACCATTACCTTTTGAAACATTCTCAGCAAGTTAGAAATGCAGTGTTTTGTGGTTTTCTCCCTGTCCCCCCCGCCCCCCCCCAAAAAAAGCCTAGTTATCAGTAGGCAAGAGAAATTCTCTGAAAAGGACTTTTTCCAAAGAAGGCCAACAAAATACCTCTGTTGGCAGAGGGCTAACTGGTGTTCTGAAGGGGTAGCAGATAAGGTGACTACAAACTAGGCTAAATTAAAGTATAGTTTGCTTGGGCTTACTTCTTCGGTCTCTACCGAGTGACTGATTCTCCACCCACTTCTTCGAGATCTTTCTATTCTATACCACTGTGTCCCTTAAAATGAAATCCCAGTTGCATGACTTACCTGTCCCCACCATCTGAATATGTCTGCTTCTGTAGTTTAGCATCACAACACGATACCCCTGTCTGAATATCAGATCCATCTCTTCTACTTCCCTTTCTGCCGTTAATCCATCCTGGTGGGGGTTTGGGCATGCTATGCCTGCTAGTAATAGTAAGTGACTACTAATCACTCTTAACCTCTGTGGACGGGGGTAACAGCTCAGGTGAGTACAGGCAGATTTGGGAACTGCTGTTGCTCTTGCCTCTATGCAACACAGATATATTTGAAGTGATTTGCATGCAGGCAGTGACATTCAAGCCACTGTTTGGGAACATCTGGATTGATGCATAGGCTGTGCTAGCTTAAGCTGAATGTGTAGAGGTTGAAAGCAATTCAGTTTTCACATCCTCTCTGATTTTCTAGTCCCTGTGGCAGCAAAGAAAAGCTAAAACTGTGATCAGGAGTAACTGATCCTGAAGAGGATTTCAATGAAGAAGTAACTGTAAGATTGAGGTACCCACAAAAGGTTGTAGGAAAGGACAAGACTACCTTGGGACTGAACCACTCAGGCAGTTTCACCATAGACATTGGATTAAGAACCTGGGCCTGTTCAAGCTGTAGATAAAGGGAGAGGACACTGTTTCTGAGGGGAAAAAGAGGGCTTGTTCATCCTTGTCTCCACTTCTATTGTCACAGGCTGATAGGGCCAGTGCCATAGATAGTGTGTTTTAGTACTGTCATTCAAAGTAATTTGTCTCATTTGGAAGATTTCTGCGCAATGTAAGATACACCTTTGTGTTGCTCATTATTATGGTTGTTTTGCCATTAGAGCTAATAAGAAAATAATTTGTCTGGTTTTATTAAGCAAAATATAATTATGCTTTTGATATATTTCTCAGAGGAAGCCCGATTGCAAGCTCAACAAGAAGAAGCAGCACGACTTGAAAGGGAGAGAATTGAACAAGAGCAGATGGAAAAGCTTGAGGCAAAAGTTAGTTCATACTCAATAGTTACTGAAAAATTCTAATCCTATTTCTAAACTTGTGACAAGGTCTGTAAAACATCAATAATTTAGTGTGAGAATGGAAAGGAATTTCCTTATGTCCTTAGTGTTGGGAACAATGCAGAGGAAATTTTCTAGCATCACTAGATTAAAATTAATAATGAAAAATCTAGCCAAATCACTGAAAGGTACTCTTGCGTATGATCCCACAAGTTGAGAAGGTAGTGAGCTGGACTAGTAATTAAATAAAACACATTACATGTAAAGTCAAGAGAAATGGTGCTAAATTTTTTTCTATAGTATTCTTTCACGAAGCCAATATTTGGCTTAGTATTGCTTTGATTCAGAAAAATTCTCTGAGACAAGATAGTCTTGCCTGTTTTTGATACATAAAGATGCTGTGGTTAAATAACTTTTGGGATATGTGATACTCTAGTTTGAATAAATACTTCTTTTTTTTCCATTTGCACTATACTTTCAATTGGATATATTTTTTATGCTCCCCATAATTACATTTGGTACAGTTGTGGCAGGAAAATTTTGGTATAAATTCTAGAAGTGATTACATATTAGGACAGATGCAGTGATTTGTATGTGTGCGTGTATATATATGTGTGTGTGTGTGTATTTGAATATGTATGTTTATTTTTCTAAGACGAATGGAATTCAGAACAAAAACTGATTGGCAATATCTAAATATTTTTGTGTTTAAAAGAAAAAAAAAAAAAGGAGATGTACAACATTTTATTTCCCCCCCCCCAGAAAAAAGTCACTCTTGCCTGTGCCTCTTGTCCTTCCCAGAATTTTGCCCCTAGAGAGAAGATAAATTTAAAATAATAGAAATTATAAGGAAAAAATAAATCATCTTGCACACATTTTTCCAACATATGCTTACATTTTTCATCAGCTCTCATTAGAGGTAGTTCCAGGATGATGATATGGAAATTGTTCAAGTGAGAGGTTAACAATCTTGTGACACATTATGTTTATCATATGGCTCAGCAACTAATGTAATGACAATAACATATTGTGAACTGCTGCAGTCTTCTCAATTAAATGTTTCATAAAAAAGCAAGTTACCAGTGTTTGGATTTGTTTAAATGATAACTCATTCAAATATCCTAAATTTTTTTCTTTTATATAAAATAATTCTAAGTAGTAAACCAAATATTTAACTCCTCTGATATATAACCAGGATCGAGAACGAAGGGAATTTGAACTAGCAGAACTTCATTCACTGGAACGGAAGTTTTTGTCCGCACAGCAGTGGAAAACAGATGATAGAGCACATGCAAAGGTAAGCTTTCTTTCCAAAATCCGCTCAGTGTTGTAGAGGTTTGACAATGAAGAGACTTTAGGCTCTGTCTCTATTACAGAATCCAGAAATGCTTCCATTTCTTGAGCTTAAGTGTGTGCTATGACTGCATTTCAAGTTCCATCTCAAGGTAGTAACTGGCCATCCTCACTCTCCTCTGTCTTCTATACTTTGGTGTACACAGAAAAGAAACATTGGCAAAGAGAAGCCTGTCTGGCTGATCAAGGTATTAGGGCCCCGCAGCTTACCCCAGCAGTCAAGAGGAATTGCAGTTTCAGATGTTCTGGTATTTGTCCTTCCTTTTCTATTTGTTTAATTCATTCTACTTTTAAACATTCCATAAAAAAAAGCTCTACCAGGGCTTAAAAATATTTTTGTAGAATTTGAGACAGTTGACATTTGTTCCAGTGGTTCCTGGATATCACACGTCATCATTCGGAGACAGTTGGCCAAAACTTTGAAGGACATGGTACAAATCTTGGTCAGATATCAGGGCTGGAAATATGTGAAAATGCAGCTAAGAGTTAACGTCTGCAGTTTAGGGTGACATACATGGTGGTTGAATCATCACCCAATAGAACTATATGCCTGTAAAGTTAAATTTTAAATAGTAAGTTATGGAAATACACTAGCAGAACATTTCACTCTTGTGAATCCGTCTTGCAGAAACATCATTCAGTAACAGTCTGATATGAGATTTGGTCAGTTTGGTTCCAAGTAAGGTTAAAAAAACTTGTGGACACCAGGATTTTCTCTTTGTCTTGCATATCGCTTAATCCTTTATAAAGCCTCTGTGGAACAAATTTAGAATCATAGGATAAGTCACGTTAGAAGGGACTTCTGAAATTCATATAGTTCAACCTCCTGCACAAAGCAGGGCAAACTCTGAAGTTAGATCAAGGTGCTCAGTTGGGTTTTGAAAATTTCTAAGGATGGGGATACCACAGTATCTCTAAGCAACCTTTTTGGCAGCTCTACCACTCTCACTGTAACAGTTTTTCTTCAAATCCAATTGGCATTTCCCTTGTAACAGCTTGTGATCATTGCCTAATTGTCATGTCACATCCACCCTGTGCACATCTGAGGAAAGTTTGCCTCTGTCTTCTCTGTAGCCCCTCTCTAGGTACTGGTAGATTCTAATTATCTCCTCCCTTAGCTTTGTTAGTCCTCTCCAGACAAACAAAGCTCAGCCTTTCCTTGTGTGTCATTTTCTCCAGTACCCTAACCATCTTAACATCCCTCCTCTGGACTCTCCAATTTACCACTCTTTCTCTTGTATTGAGGGACCCAAAACTGGATACAGCACTTCAGACATGGCCTCAGGAGCCCTGCAGAGGGAACAGTCAGTCCCAGGCACACTGGTTACACTCTTCCACTGTACCCTTAGCATTCGTTGCCACAAGGGTGCGGCATGAGAACTTCGCAGTTACGTCTTGATACCTTTGGATGATGTTTGTTACCTTTTTCAGTTGGTGACAAGCTCTGACTTTATTATTCTTGTGAACAAGAGAATCTGTCAGTCATTTTGAAAGGTGACAGTTGTTTATGGATGTTTCTGAAGAGTATTTCTTGGAAGGAGAAACAAGAATTTTTTTGTTTTGAAAAGCAATGGCAAAATGGAACTATTATTTTAAAAATAAATCTTCAAATAAAATACTGGTAGATTATGGGAAATACTAGAGTTTGCATTAGTCTGTTGTTAAGAATATTTAGGGCAAAAGAAATATATAATACCAAATGCTGAGTTTCCATGTCCTGAACAATTCTGAACAATTTCAATTCAGATTAACAGATACGCATACAAATTTTCATTGAATTTATCCTTTTTCTCAAAGAGCAAGTGCTGTTATTCTTAAGGATGTGCTTTCCTGGTGATGAAACTGAAGGTCTCTTTTAAGTGCAAAGATGTAAAAAAAAAAGAAATAAAATGTTTTAATTACTGAAGACTGATCAGTCTTTTATACAGGAGTTTTCAGTGCACTGAGCACTCACCTATTATTGCTTTTTTTGAAGTCAGTAGGAGTGGTTATGGAAGTGGTTGGGAATGCAATTATACAAGCGCTTTTGCTTTAAAAGATCCATTTTACATTGTAATGCATTCTTCAGTAACATTGCATTATTAATCTTCACAGTAAACAGGGCGGCAATGTTTCCTTAATATCTTACTATATGGATGAAAAAAATTACATTAGAGGTGATAAATTGATCCCATGAGCCAATGTTAAGCTCATATATAGAGTTAAGTGGGTTTAGCCTGGTGCAGATTTTTTTTTTGACTCCCCCACCTATAAGAATGACCAATAATTGATTTGAAAATAAAATTATTCAAAAAAAAAAAAAAAAATCTAGGACTTCACATTCCCACCAGAGGTTTCTGTAACAGCTGAATTGGTGCTGGTGAGGAGGAGGAAATCTCCTTCAGAAGCAGAGAAAGGAGAAATAAACATGTTGGAGTAGAAGGCTCTTAAGCAGCTTTATTGCCAGCGTGGGACTTTTCAGTTTTGTTGGCAGTATCTGGTTTGAGAACCATCTGCCTCTTCCACCTGCACTGGTTCCTCATTTATGTTCTCAGTCATTTATTCTTTCAGCCCCTCATTTGTGGCAGGTGCTGAATTCATTCGTTTTGTAGACATGCAAGCTCTACCTAGCAGAACAGAAACCACTGATAAATGAGTAAGTATGAACAGCAAATGTTAGGTGGGCAGAAGGATCTTAACACATTAATATCAGGGTAAACCATTTTTTTCTGGCATAGTGATAAGCCAGGTGGTGCTACAGTCCTATTTAGATGCAGGTGTGAATGTATCACTGCAATGTATTTGTCTTTCAGAATCCTCCTTTTTCTTGTAATAATGATAGTCATTTGCACCACATGCTCATATCTACTTTTCTTTGAACATTTTCTGTAGTGGGAGCATTACCTCAGTTGTGATGGAAGTCCTGACCCAACTGTACTGCAGGAAATAAATACTTTCATGAGTTTATGGCGTGAAGATCAAAATGAGGACATTCAACTTGTGATGGAGAAGGGAGAACAAGTGCTAAATGTAAGTGCTAAAATGGTATTTTTTAGTTTAAATTTACCAGAACATATCCTTAACAGCCCCCTCCCCTTTTCTTTTTTTTTCTTTTTTTTTCTTTTTTTTTCTTTTTTTTTCTTTTTTTTTTTTTTTTTTTTTTTTTTTTTTTTTTTTTTTTTGCGGCCGAATGACTGAAATTGGCTATAGCCTTCAAAACCCAGCTGTTTTTCTTCAGTTTTTACATTTTTTTAATTACCGATTTACTGTTAACTCTAAAAAAGGTGACTATTGACTTTAAATATGCAGTGCATTTAAGGGATTTGTGTGTAATGTTTCTACACTGAGCTCTAGTATTCCAACATCCATCTTCCCTGCTGTGTACCCTTTAAACAGTCTTGAGCCAGAACATATAAGCTTGTGTCGTATATAGATGCTTCAGTGGACAGCAGCCTTATTGTGTAACACTTACAGCCAGTAAAGTGTCATGTAAGAGCAGGAGTTCCCAAAATGCAAGCCACCAACCATTGACGGTTTGTGAGGCAATTTTAAGCAATTTGTGGCTGCTCTGTAAATGTAAGATTTTATTTTCATTTATGCTAACTTTATAGTGTTTTTCAGAAAGTTAAATGGGGTCTTCCAGAAATTGGGGGTGAAAGTCGCATGCGTAATACAACTTTCATTGGGCTGGTTTGGTTCCGAGCGTTAGATTTCCTATCTTGCAATGCTTGCGAGGTGCTGCAATTTTCACTTTCTGCATATTGCCTTTTTCTGAGACAGTGGGGAATGTGCCGGTCCTTTCCAAGAATTTCAACAGATTACTCCTCCATTCCTCTTCTACACTGCAACCCAAGCAAAAAGCCTGGCAGTTGCCCACTTCCGTTCCTTCTCACCACTCTTCTCCCTGCTGTCATGTCTTTCCCACAAACACACTTCCTCCCCCCGCTCTGTGTTTCCCATCCGACACGGAAGCAGTTACAGCTACTTCAGGCCCTGTGAACGTGTACTACCTTGCACTGTATGCTCAGCAGAGTATTATGTGATACTAGAACATAGGCATTTTTGTTTCGCCCCTACTGGAAATGCAAGGTGATGTCAAAAAGGTTGTCTGTCTTCTCTTGGTTTGAAACACTTGAGCATTTCCTTCCTGTTCTACATGTTTTTAGAGGAAACTGTTAAACACACTGAACTGTGAGATCGTGTAGATCAGCAGTTCAGAGTTGACAGGGACCACCTCACTATCAAGGTAGACCATGTTAAAGGTGCAAAAAAGACAGTAGTAGTTACAATTCGGCTGCTGCTTTGCCACACCTTTAACGAGCAGTAACACTGCGATTCCACAGGCTAAGAGGAGGAAGAGTCTGGCAAGTCTGAAGGGAGGCATAAAATGTAATCTGACCCTCCCTTCATCTCAGTGCTGCAGGTCGCTTTTGCTAGCTAGGAATTTTTTAGTTCTATACAAGCATGTAGTGGAAGACAACAATGTAATGACAGAGCTCCAAACTTCACGCTAAAGATTGTTCTGAGAATTAAAATGTGATTGCTGTATGTCTTCCTATTTTTTTTTTTTAAGATTTCGTAGTTGAGATTATTACTATAGAAAATATGGTTCCAAAATAAAGCTGTAAGCTTTTAATTAAAACTAATTTTTGACCAAAATTTTCTTCATATGACCAACTGGTTCAATAAATGATCTATTTCATAAGCTAAGATTTCACAGCCCACAGGTTAAGGAATGAAGGAATTGGACTAGAGGAATGAAGAAAGGCAGACTTGACCCTGGAATTTCCAGCACTTTGCATGGTTGACTGTCTATCTGATAGTGCTGGCTTAACACAATTTCTAGAGATAGAATAGAAAAAGATTATTTCTGCGACCAACATGTGTTTAGGTACAAAGGAAGCAAGTTTGCCTCATTTTTTATGACAGAACACACAGTATATTACAGGTGGTGTCAAAACAGAGATACTTTTCCCACATATAATGTCTTCTAGTTAATTGAGAAGTTGCAGTTTATTTTATTGGACACACCACCAAATGAGATAACAGAAAAAGAAACAGTGCAGTACCAGGAATCTATTCTGGAATTGCAGAATCTACTTCATCAGAAGTACAATGGAGCAACAGAACACCTGCTTAAAGTAAGTAAGATTTACTACTTAAAAGTTGTAATATGCCCAATGCACATAAGGTTAGCTACAAGTGTCTTGTTGTGATGGTTGGTTTTGTTTGTTCTTAAATTGTCAGAGATGAGTATTTCAGTTTCCAAAGTTAGTATTTGAGTTTCCAAATCTTGTGTATAGCAGATACCAGACTTGTATGTCTTCAAATCTTAACTTTAGAGAGGAAATTCTCATCACTAAGACATTTAATATTAAATTATTGTGACATTTTGTGAGATTTGGAGACGTTGAAAACAAGGGGCGCTGTATGAAATTTGTTTCCTATTTTGTCTCGATTTAAATTAAAGTTAGTTGACTGTACAAAAAATTGCAAATATGAAAAGCAGGTCATAAGGTTAGCTTGTACACATTTTTAAATACAAGTTAATATGACTAAAATATTTTTAAGCAGATCTTGGCAAGACTAAAGAATATTTAATCAAGAAAATGAAAATGTACTTGGGAATCAGTTTTCTGGTTGTCTAGGTAGTGATCTTGCTTGCTATTTAAGTATATTAATCATATATGTAAGTATGTTTAGCAAAAGAATATTGCTAGAGGAAACAAAAAAAGGAAAAGAAGTAAAGCAAATAGTGAACCAGTTGTATGTTTGTTCACAGTCAAAACCTCTGCAAATTAAGAAATGTGAAATTCTTGATCGTCTTTACAATTAAACTCCTAATGTAATCATTATTTCACAAGTTGTATATTGACAAAAATATAAAATAATCTGTGCAGTGGCTGTGGGCTAGGCTGTGGGCTGTGCTTTATTGCTCAGTAAGTCTTTTTTTTTTTTTTTTTTTTTTTTAAACTTGTCCTGAGAAGTATTTCTGTGGGCACATGATTAAGGGAGATAGGCAGTACCATTGAAAGGGATAATGAATAATGAAAGATCCCATATTTGACGGAATTTTGACTGACAGAATTGATGAAGTCAGAGGAAGAAAAAGAACATAGTTCAAAATTTAACAAAGAGATTTGAGTCTATAACTGTTATGTTTTACTACATAAATGCAACATACTTGAGCTTGGTCTGGTATATTTTTATTCCTACATGTCTTTTCTTATTTATTCCAGTGTAAATGTAAGTAAATCAAAGTAAATAAGAAGAAAACATGATTTAATCTGCTTTTTCTTTGTAGACAGCTAGTATGTATGAAGATTCTGACACTGGAAATATGCAGGCAGTCATAAAGGATAAAAATGTTACTTTTTGTATTTGGGCCAATCTGAAGAAGAAAGCAAGGTACAGCATACTGAAATTCTTAATTTGAAATGAGGCCTGGCCCTGTCTACCCAAGTCAAGTAAACACCAAGAACCAGTTTCTCATAGTCTTTTTCATGTCGAATAGCTTTTGTTCTACGGACTCTCAACTGATGGATTTCATACCAACCTGTTGCTAAGGAAGGTACTGGTTACATCAGAGTTTTATTCAAGGAACAGGAGTGTTTTATATATGTAGATAAATGTATAAAAAGATATATATATAAATTTTGTTTCTTAAGATGCTACAGAAGAACCCTGTTACTGCCAGAACAATTTTTAAAGGAAAACAATAAAACTCATGCAGAGAATTGAAATTCTTCTGAAAGTAATGTTTCTTGCTGATGCATTAAAATAATTTCTAAGCTGTTACAGTTTCTTGCAAAGCAGTGAATGATGCTTTGTGCTCAGTTCTCTGTTAGATAAAGGATTCTAGAGCCTGGAATATCCTCCATAGTGGCTTCTGAATCTAAGATGGTTTTTTTATTAGATTACCATTTAACTGATATATTTTTCAAAACAAGACTTTTGAGTGCACTTCCTACTCCCACTCTGCAAATATGAGGAATAAATTGGTAAAATTTGCCTTGATAAGGACCTCTTGCTGCAAGCTTTGCTAAGATAACTAGAAGGCTGGGTCCTGAGCAATGTCAGACTGACCTGCAGGAAGAGCCCATTTGGGTTAGTCTTAAAGCCTTTTGGTCAGCTTAGAGATGCACTTAAATTTTTCAACCAAGAAAATCTTCTAGTTGCTTTACTAGAAGATTTTTAGAATGTGTGACTAGCTGATCTTATCAGAAAATAAGTATTATTTGAATTGTTCCGGGTTTGGTTGGCCGGGAATTGCAATGAGCAAGAAACTTCCGTATCTGATGAAAGAACCCAAATTCACAGGTTAGATACTTGACTTGATGCAAGTTGGCCTCCTATGCTGCTCTTAGCCTGTTTCCTACACTCACAAAGTTCGGTGGCTGTGTAATACTGTTGATCATCCAAATTACCTTTACGTCTGTGTATCTCTTTGGATTTTATGTGGAAGATGCTGAGACTGATGTAACGCAGACAGCCGGTAACTTCACCTATGTAGGAATTGGCCCATTAAATTAGTCTGTTTTACCAGGAATGTACTGTGTAGAAGAGCTGCCGTCTGATTCTGCCTCCTTGTCATCCTATCGGGACCGTTATTTTTGCAGCTCCTGATCCCTTTAATGCAGTTACAGCTTTTCTGGAGGGGCTTACAGACAGCTGTCAGTACAAGACAGGAAGCGTATCATGACATTCCTCTCTATTTCTTAGACTGTGCAATGTGACAAAAGAGAATTTAGGTAACTTTTAGTGTAAAACATCAATTTGAATACTTACGAAGAAATATAACAATAAATGCTGCCAATCTTACTAGGGAATGTAATTTTTTGTAACTGTTATTTACAGGTTCAAAAATCACATATTTTATGATACACAGCATGGATTTGATCTTCCAAAGTCACTGGCTATGAGCAGTGTTGCTGTTCGCATATTGCATACTTATTATGACCATGTATCTCCACTTTGGCTGCACTGTCAGAGTGTGCCAAAACTAGAAGTCTTAGATAGCAAAGAGTTAACTCAGCATTCAAAAGACAATGTAGAAGAACCAGAAGAAGAGGAAAAGACAGTCAGAAAAGAGCCCAACATGCCCACTGAAGAAGAAACATGTTCTGATGGGAGAAAGGTAGGTGAAAAATCCTGCAAAAGGATGTTCTGCAATGCTGCTGTTACTCGAGGCCGACTCACAGTCTAACAGCTTCTTAATGTGACTATGCCTGAGCGAGCCAGGTTCTTAAACGTTTTATAGAAAAAGGCAACTTGTGTTAATACTGTGCCATAGATCTTCTCAAGGGAATGGAAGGATGGATGACCAAGGATTGTCATACAGAAGGTAGAAAGGGAAGCTTGGACAGGGTGTGGTAGTTGCCACGCAGTTGACGTGCGTGAGTTGGCATTTGGTTGGCAGTTTAAGAGTAGAATCAAGCCATGAGGAACGTCAGGTGCTGTTGTAAGATATTTCCATAAATCTGTGATGTATGTCCAGATTCTGCTTCTGAGAAACTGACAGCCCCATAAAATCACTGCAGGAATCCAATATTAGGAAAATTTGCAGCGTGCAGAATAGGATTCAGTTCAAGTGCAGTTACTTGGCTGCTCCGTGTCTGTATGCTGAAGCTTTGCCAGTAGAGGGCTTTCCCGATACTGCTTCTGGCTGCTGGATTCTCTTCATCAACACTCTTCAATGGAGTGTGTTGGCTTTAGATATTGTGGAGGTTGCTTGGGTTTGTATTTTCCTTACTGGGTTTGGGTTTTTCACTTTCTATGACCTGCAGGTAAATGACTCGGGTTCTCTGTCTAAAATTTCTGCACAAATAACTGTGAAACATCATGTTTTATGCCGCCTTAATATGTTTGGAGCAACAACCTTTGCCTTTTTCCTTTTCAGTCCCCGGAACCTTTGTAGTGAATCAGTGCCTGAAATCCCGTTTTTCTTGGTTCCTTTTTTCTGTCTTGTATGACAAATCTTGTCTTTTGCCAGTTTTCACCTACATTTTTCAGACTTTCTTCAAGCTCCTCATTTCATTCCTTCTCTTTTTCTTTCCCAGCTCTTACTCTCTTTCTCTCAATCCCGTTTTGTGAATTTTCCTATTCCCTCTGAAGACTCCACTTCTCTCAGCTACTGCAGTCTCTCCTCCTGTCTGGCTCTGCCTTGAGTTCCCCCACGTTTATGTGCGTAAACACTTCTTTCCCCTCACTTTCTGTCCTGTTTCAGGAGACGTGTGTTCTTCCCACGCAGTGGCAGGCACAGCACAGGGTACAGGAGGCGCCTGTGCCTCCAGAGGGATGGCTTGGACACTGAATTGCCATTTGTCTACCGCTGTGCTTCCAGAGGAGTCTGCTGTGACAGGGATGAGTTCGTATCTGGGTTGGAAATCTAGGGTAATGTTTTGAAAATAGAAAACAGTGTGAGAAAGGGAATAAGTATCATGGGCAAGGCACAGGCTAAGACTGCAAGTGGGGGTTTTGGCAGAGTTTCGGTACGGCTTTGGATTCAACATTGGCTTAAGTTTTCTTTGTGTCACTCTTCTAGCTGTAAAGTCAGCATAAACATAATTTTTGAGTGCCCACACTGCTAAAAAGATTAAGTGCTTGTGTGGTACTTGGGGAGATCGAGATGGAATTTGCTGTGGAAATGAAGTAATTATTTTATGTTTATCTCTATTTATATATCCGGTTCCAAAGTTGGAGAGTACTTTTAATCAAAACTATTTTTGCTATCTAGGTAGAAATGATTTCTCCTCAAACCTTGACCCTGTAGCAAGGTTGGTGCAAATGTTGCTGGAGGAGTGGAACTGTACTCTTTCTCCTTGGGCCTCCTTGGAGGAGGTGATACCCTCTTCTTTTTTGTGTCTGTCTCCGACTAAAGAAAAAATGTCTTTTGCTTTTTATATAGAGTATCTCATTCAAAGAAAACAGCAATAGCATAGCTGATATAAATGAGACAGAGGAGGAAATTGAGAAGAAATCAGAAATCTTGGACATACCATCACAAGGTATTCGGTTAGTTTTTATGTGCAGCATTACAAAAGTACTTGTTCTAAATATTTTATTTTATATATGGAGACATGGTGATATAGATCTCTATGCAAAATGGAACAAAGTTTATAAATATATTGATGTTTTGATAACACTTGAGTTTTGTTGACATTTCTATTAATGATTGTTAAATGCAGGGAGAAGATAAGACAGATAGGAAAATGGATTTTGTCCCCTCACTTATTTTAATTTACTTATTATTTGTGTTTATGTTCATGTACATGTTTATTATGTTTATTTACATTTGTGTATTATTATGCGTATGTTTATGTATGTTTATGGGTGAGACACACAATCTTTATGGATCTGCCAGGCTGTCTGGTGAGATTGACTTTCTCAGAAAAAAATTATTCAAATGTGTATAACGGTAGGCACTCAGGTAGTGTAGATATTACTGAATATTACTTAAATGTGTGCTTAAGGCGAGATACATGCTGATACACTTTGTTAAAAGAGGGCGTAATTCTAGGAACTAAAACTGTTTATCATCTGTCCCACATAAGTTAAGTTACAAATTTCTTCAGTGTTGTGGTGTCCTTTGGTTTAATGAGTGAGTTTTCTTGTAGTACTGTCTCAAATAAAACAACTGCAAACTATTCAGCAACGTTTAGCTGAACTGTACAGCCTTTTCCTTGTTGTGGAAAAAACCCAGACCCCACCCCACAACACTTTCTGCTGAGCACAGTCCAAGCAACCAGTTGTCAGACTAGACCCTAAAGACCACCCACCAAACAAGGTGGGTTTCAAGAGAATATGAAGAACTTGGGCTTCATTTGGAGGAATTTGCTATTTTATTTCGGTAAGGCTTTGAAAATCCCTACTGTAGTATTAGGTGAAATGTATGTGCACAGAAGTTTACTACTATACCTGAATGTCTTCAAGCTTCTTTAGCTGCTTTAATAAGGAGAAAAGGCTTTTGAAACTATGGCATGCTAATGATTTGCAAACCTATTCACTTTTCAGAATAGAGTTTGAAAGGATACTCAGTTACCACAAATTCAGTGAAAACCGGCAGCCAGGTAGATGAGAGATAAAAACCAGGAATGCAACAATAGGGAAAAGAGCGAGAACTACTGCAGTTCTCTGGATTTAACTTCATTGTACCAGTGTTAAGAAGTTAGTTTAGCTTGGGAGAATGAATAGTTTTGTTTAGAAAACACTTAAATATTTTTGTATTATTATTTTAAAAAGCAAGTTAAAGTGCAAGCTATCACTGTGGCTGATAGTAAAATGGTTTTTACTTCCTGTAATTTTTTTGCTGGGAATAACTGCAAAGGGACATTATGTTGTTGTGTGAATACAGTAGAATAAAACCTCTGCATAATGCAACTAAATCTGACATTATAAAATTAACACCATTTTCATTTGTTTTTTAAAAAGTTTGAAGACAGGTTATATAAATATTTGTCATTTTTTGAGATTATGTCATTCTCTAAAAGCAAATTTCAAAACACTTACAGTAGCTGTTTTTACAGTATTGAACATTTTTTCTTGATCCCTGTCAACAGTAACTTCCATCCTCCTTCTGTAACATCCGGTGCAATGTTTTTTATGTAGGCTTGATTGTTTTGTTTTTGTTTTTTTTTTTAAAGAAAATATTTCTAGGCATTTTTGTCCATGGCATTGATGCCGTCTAATAACATTTTCCAATTAATTAAAACTTAAATTCATACATATATGTAATATATACATTATTATGCATAGAAAAATATGAATTATCATCTTTGTTATCTGAAAATTTTGTTCATGTTAAATCCTTCTTGCTCTTCATAAATATCACTGGTCTTTCACCTTCAGCACATGACCTGTAGGTGCCTTATGTCTTTTTATTTGCCTCATTTCTTGTCATACCAACACAATCTTACTAAACCTGTCCAGAATCTACTGTATTGTATACTTGTGAAATTCTTCTGCGATTAATGATGACTCATTTTGTCGGTAAAACGTTATTCATATGTATCTTTGAATTGACTACAAAGTTAGAGCAGAGATTAGTCTGTTAACAAGCTCAGTACCAAACAAGAAGTGCTTTTCATTGTCCAGCCGTCTTTCTTTCCCCACATTTCAATTAATTGTTAAAAGATTTGGGGAACACCAGTAGATGGTGCTGAAATGCTGCAGAGTATAAAGCACTTCAAGCACATGGGCTTTTTGTGCAAAAGTGAGAAATAAAACTGGGAAATTTCAGTGTCTTAGTTTAAGCAGCAAGTTAACTCATGCTGTTTGGCTATTTTTTAGTTCAGGATCCACTGATGCAGGAAGAGACGAATGAAAAAGAAGAGGCGATAACTGATGAAAACATTGTTGATTTGCAACAGTTTGTACCAGTGGGTGGTGTGTACCACATTGACGTACTGCAGCTTCCACCTCAGGTCAAACAAATTAAGGACTGGAGTATGGTGGAGGTGAGTGAGGAGAGAGATTACACCCCATGCAGTCCTCTGTCATCCTTGAAGAGCTGTTCCTGAGGTGTGTCGCCCCTGTACATATGTAGCGTACAGGGTTTCTTGAGAGCAAACGAAAGGACCAAGTTTTCAAATCATTTTTCAATTACACTTGGCCAATTTTTGGAGCAGCTGGGGGGAACAGGTCAGCCTGCACTTAGAGAGGTGTGTGCTCAGTCGGTGCTCATCAGCATGGCTAGAACAGATCGTTGTGCTAGAAAATGCTCTTGGCCAAAGTAAAAGCAAAGATAGAAGTTCTTAGTTTTTCATATGTGAAAGGTACACTTAAAGAAGGGTGGTTATAAAATTACTGCCAATTCAATTCCAGGTTCTGCAAGATATTTGAGGACTGTAGCCAATGTGCTCTAGTTTTCCCACTCATGGAGCCTGATGCAGCACTAACCTACCTCACAGTTTTTACTGTGAAGCTGGAAACCTTTAATAAGTGAATTTCCCATACAAACTAAGAAAGCGGGGCTGTGGGCAGATCGAGAGGCACAGGATCTTCATTCCCAGCCGAGCACACAGACCTGCATTACTAGTCACACGTGACCTTTTTCATTCCCTTTGACAAAGTGGAATTATGTCTGCTTTTGCCTCTCAGGTGCTCTTGGTTTTTTTGGAGACTGTGACTATGCCTACTGTGTGGCACTGCCTTAAGGGTACCGTCGACAGCACGTGAAGGGTTCAAAGGCCTGTTGGTAGTCACCCTTCTACTGTCTTCAACATTGTAGTTGGGAATGCGCAATATTAGCAAACCATTAATACTAATAAATTTTAAATGGTGATTAGGCGGACTTAAAGAAAAAAAAAAAAGTAGGCTACTGCATTTTCTAATAAAAATGTTATCTGTCCTTTTCCCATTTTGCCAAAGTTACTCGATGTTGGATTGGAGGCATACCCATATCCCCCAGAAGAGGCTGAAGATGCCACACATCCACCACTACAGATAACCCTTAGGCTTTTGGACAATGTGATGTATTTTGAGGATCCTGTGATAGCCCGATGGGATCCTGCAGGTACGAACTTAGGACATAAATTTATTTTAAGTTTAAATAATGGAATTTATACCTGAGTTTGACTAATTCCAGAGTCCAGCTGTAAAGATAAGAGCCAATTCAGAGCCCAGAAATAATCTGGGGACTTCAGTGTTAATTGATTTGGGGTTGTTTTTTTTTTTTTGTTAGATTTGGCTTCTGCATCGTATCTAATAATGGACTGCTCCTTGAGGCTTTTTACTGTAGCTTTTTAATATGAATGGAAAATAATACACACCATTTAATGGGGAGTAGTACAACTGTATACCACAAATCAAGTTTTGCTAGGGTGCAGCCATGTAAAGTCCACTTTGAGCCAAATTAGCTCCTAACTACATGTATTAGTATTAAGTTATAATATGAAAATTAAATGTTAAAAACCAAATGTGATATTCCAGTTATTACATAAATACAAAATATCTCTGACTTGACATTCATGAAAGAGAGTAGAACATATTAAAAAGCCTTAATGTTTGAAGTTATACTTGAAAATGAGCTTGTGGACTGCTATATAGCAAGTAAGAAATGACAGTTACATTAATATTTGTATTTCTTTTGAGATGAAGGAGAAGCTTTCCTGTCAAAATTAGCCCAATCTTGTACATAAAGACAATTAAAATGAGGGGAGTTTTTGCCTTAAATGAATTCTCTTTATTTTGTGCATAATATTTTATCTTAACTGTGAATGTTAGTTAACTTAGGATGTCTTTGCTAACTCATTCTTCTCCAGCACATCTCACAAGCAGAAGCTTTACATACACATCTTTGCATTTTTGCATCCCTTTTGTAAAGGCCAACAGTGGAGAACTGATGGCATCAGCAACATAATGTACGAAACACAAGAAAAGAGTATCACCTTTGAGATGGGTGCCTTTTATACAATCGCACTTCTCCAGGATGCTCATCTCAACATGCCATATCAGGCATGGGAATTGCGACCTACTGGCACAGACGAAGCTCTACTTATAGTTACTACAGTCTTTGCAACAATTCAGATACAAATTAAGGTACTGTAAATAATTTTTTTTTATAAAACAGTTGCAGATTTTAAAAAAAATACAGAATTATTACAGTGTCCTTTATTAAGAACTTGGGATGCTTCCACAAGAGCCATTTGAATCTCACATTTGAATCTGTGCCGGTGAAAATGAAGGAGGATCTCTTCCTTTCCAAGCACTGTAAGGAACAGTACGGGTGATTTAATTTCAGTTATTTTCTGTGAGCTGGTCAGAAGAAAGCATCTGTATGATTGTTCTGCAAAATTCCAGTAAGTGCTTTGGTACTGATACTGCCTTGCTGAATTCAAGACTCTCTCACCAGCTAGAGACTTAAAAATTGCTCCTCTCTCCTCCCAACTATACCAAGAGAAATAAAAGCATTTCAAGCAACCGACTACTAATGCTACTTGTTCCTTCTAAAGGTTCAAGTTACGCATGATTATCCGTATGCTTATTGCTATATAAATCAGTTCAGTAACAGACATGATTTTAAAAGCATCAGTATGAGCATAAGCATGGGCCAGTAGACCAGCATCATTTCTGAAAAGTGGCTTTCTTCAGGATACATGAATGAAAGTTTACAGCCCAGAGTGGTAGATACTGTATGGGATATCCAGAGTAGCAAAGATACTAGTATTTGATGCCTGAAGCAGAAAAGAGCTTTCATGACCGGTAAGTTGCGTTTTCCCTGGTTTGTACAACAGGGTAATCAGTGTATGTTGTCTTCAGTACTGGTGGAAGAGAAGGATGTGCTTTCCCATGTCACAGGAAAATGGATAAGTCCAGTTGACCTAAGAGCAGTTTTGAAAAAAGCTGGTGTGAATATTTTCCCAGGAGAGTATTCTTACAAGTATGTCTCTGTGAACAAGAAGGTGAGTGCAAGAGTGGATGGTTTTCCTTTTGTTTTTTCCATCTATTTTTCACTTGGGTAACATTTTCTTGTATGAAGACCTGTTGTGCAGAATCAGGTGGCAAGCACACAAATGTTCTGCCAGCTTAGCCAGCGGATTATGGTTAAAGCAAGCTTTTTTCTTACATTTGTATAACACAGAATATTTGTATAGACTGAATGATATATATATTTTCTAACTTGTACTTTTGCATTACAGGCTGCTGTAGCAGAAATTAGGGCATATCAACAGATGGCACTGGTTGCATCTGCTTTTGCTTTTGCCTGGAGCAAGTGGAATCTAGAAGCAGGTCAAGAGCAAGTAGTGTTCAAGGTTTGTGGATTTAGACTAAACTTCTAGAGAAAACCAGCACAGAACTCTATCACAGTTAAAGAGACAGAAACAATTAACTTCTATAAGTTATACTCATCTCAAACATTGTCTTCAACCCCTGCCTACGCTCTTAGTGCAGCAGTTTTAAGGTTTGGGGTTGACTACTTGGCAGTGCTCAGTGTGTGTCAGTAAAACTTCAGAGCCTGCTTCTCCACTGCTGCGCAGCTCATGCATTTGTGAGACCTCTAAGGGGACACACACCACAGTAACAAAGACACTTGCTAAGCTGCTAGGATGTGTAACTGACAGGTCAGCTATTGACGCTTTAGCCAAAGCTGGGGTGATGCAGCTGGATGCTGATTGTCATGAAGTATCCTGTTGTAGGCATCCTCTGAATAGCAATCTGATCTGCAAGTTTTATAATTAATATCTGGAAATTTCTTCTTGTCCATATGGGGTCTCATTTGTTGCCTACTGTAAAAGGGGGAATAAGCAACTTAAGCATTGATTTGTTTCCATCTGTGAATTAGAACACAGATGGTTAAAACTTCTCCCAGACAGACAGAAAAGTACTCCCAGTTGTGGTTGTAGACACAGAACATACCACACTGTTGAAATTTTGAGAAGCTCTCCCACTCTCTTGAGTTAAAGGCATGTGACATACAAATATTTAGCGTAATACTTAATCCCAGAAGCAAGAACTAAAACAAATGATGCCTGTTGCACCTAGCTACTCTGTCCACAGGAGTCAGGAGCAGCAGCTGGAGTGGTCAAACCTTGCATTTTACACAGGCAAACTAGATGGAAGATTTTGGTGTTGATACAGTACCTGGTACAGAGTCTCTTCGGCACAGAGAGCTAATGTTGTTTTAGGGGTTCAAAGCAGCACCTTGGTTTTGTTTCTGTGTTACACTCATGAGTATACCATACTGGAATTTATATTGTCAGTGTCACAGGCTTCATCTTACAGCGCATTTTTTTCTGCAATAGGTAAGTGAGCATCTTCAAGCAGATTCTGTCATAGACAAAGACTGGTCTCTTTACATGTTTAATGGTCAGAAAGCACAAAAGCTCAAGATCACTGAAACCAGTGAAGCTTTTTCAGAAGAGCTAGAAGAAGATTCTGAATTTCACTCCACACTTTACCATATGCTTAAGGACTTTGCCAGCAAAGAAGCAATTGATAAAGTGGAAACAGCTAGCTTCTTGTTTATTGATGTTGTATATCAGCTACTACTTGCTACAAGAGTTTTAACATACTCTTAAATACTGCATGCTTTCCTTTAAAACTTTATTACCAAAAGCTTTCAATAAAGTTACATTTCAAGTCTTGAATCCTTTTCTATTCAAATCATTGGAACAGCTTCAATGACTAAAATGCAAACATTTTATTTTTGTTAAAGCAAAATAAGTTCTTTATTCTCTTGTGGCTAGACCACTTAGTCATTTATTGTTAGCTATGTTCAAAATTACTAACTGTTTTATTGTAAACCTGAATGGAACTGATACCCTTTTAAGTACTTGTAAAGATTACTTTTGTCAGAAGAGGGGGCAAGAATTTTCCATTTCAAGTCATGCTTTAAAAAAAAAAAAATCTCCCCAAAAAACACCCACAACCCAACAAAACAAACCTAACATGTAACCTTAAATATACTATCTCAGCTTCTCACACTGTCATCCAGAACTTGGAAGTGTAACTACAAAAGTCAGAACCTTTGTTATACTGGGGGTGGTCCATTGTGTTGAAGTCCTGTATATGGCCACAACAGTTGCTGTAGTGAAGTCCAGGAGTCCCCAGTTCCTACAGGTGCTGCATCTGCTGGTCTTTGAAGAGACAGCCCAGTGAGGAAGCTTGTAAGAGCAGCAAGCAGTACCAGGATGGAAACAGAAACCCAGAGAGTTTTGTTAGCGTTGGAAAAGGACATCTTGAAATGGGATGCCCACGATGACATTAAATTGCACCTGCACAGAAGAGCAAGTCATAGAGTGGTTCAGTTTTTCTTCAAAACTTGGAAGCCCTCTTCCCACCCCACTCCCCCACCCCAAAAAACCCTAAAGCAAACCAGACCCCACAAACAGCATACAGATCCTTAACTATATAAAGTGACAAGGTTGTTACTGTATTGGGAGCTATGTACAGTGGTAGCTTATGTTCTGGGCTTAAAATGCAGACTTCGGTAAGCGAGTTCTTGATAAGCTGTTTAGGTGACTGACCTGACCCATGAGCCCAGTTCAGGCACCCGTGCTCCCTGTACCCCGCCATGTTTCTGAAGAGGATTCACAAAAGCTGCCTTGCAGCTCCTGAAGAAATCTTGCTTGCAGAAGGCACTGAAAAGTTCTGGCCTTGTGTTTTATTGTTTTCTAGGGCTTTAGTGCCTTCCCTGAGGTTAGGGAGAAGTCTTAGCCTCACTGACTATCCAAATCCTAGACCTCTCATGATATTGGGTACCTCCATCCTTTATCAAACAACAGAAAGAAATATTTGTTCTTGCTGTCTTCTCAGTTTTACACACAGGCATAATTGTCTTGTCTCCCCCTTGATCAGGAATGCTCGAAGTAGAGGCTTAGCATAAGATACTCATACGGAATAAACAGTTTCTCTGTAGAGATGGCACACCTCCTTTCCTGTAAGGCAGGGGCTTCCAAGGGATACTTGTTTAGGACAGCCTCTCTTCCTTGACTTGAGATATTCAGAGAAATTAGCTGGAACAGTCTGGAGTTGGTCTTGATAACTACTTGTCTCTCAGTGTGTGCCAAAGCTGCTGTTAAGTTTTGCACAGGCCTCAAATCCTTGATCATTTTTACAAGAGTACGTGTTAGCATGACCTAGTAGCCTAGCTATAACAGCTGTCACAGAGTAACCAGAAGAGGTGGGATCATAGCATGAGGCCCCTCTTTACCTCACCATAAAGGATTAGTAAGAATCCCTGGTGGGGTGAGTCTCTGGCACCTGAGATTACTCATTCCCAGTTGGTTTAAGAAGTCGGCATTAACAACCAAACCAAAGCCACAGCTTTGCTTCCTCTTCCCAAGTCCACCACCCAAACATGGCTTTACCTCACGATGATATGAGAAAACTTACACTGACTCTAGGTTCCATTTTGATGAATATTTTCCTTTTTCAGAGATACTTTCCTTCCTTGATGGTTCTTCTTGTACTTCAGCAGGTGATTCCGACTGCTCATTTCTGTAAGCAAGCATCAACAGTTCCAAAGCTTTTCCATCAAGCATTCAATCTGAGAGAGCTCACAACAGCTTGACTTTATAGCCCTGATCCGGTGGTGGACAGTTAAGAGTTCATTAAAAAACCCAAACCAACCAACCCTGCACACACACCTCAGAGGAGGTTGCTATTGAACTTACTTTGTTTCAGCATCTTCATACTCTGCCCAGGAATAAGTGCTAATGAACCGCTGTAGTGAAGGACGCTTCTCATTTTGCTTTGCTCCCAATCGTCCCCTGTCATATTGTAAAGAAGTTTGCCTTAATTTTCCCCTCAGGAAATTAGAAACTCAGCAGCAGCCTACTCATTTGGGTAGGCCTTAGACGAATAAGTTTCAAAATTAGTTGCCTGAAATTAGGATTCTTTTTCTAAAAAAAAAAAAAAGAACCAAACAAACAAAACAACAAAAACCAGATCCATCAATGCCAGCTGCCTAGATTTCATATTTTAGTTCTAAAGCCAGACAGTTGAGATGAGTTTTTAAAAAACTCTCAACCCTTAATAAAAAAATAAATTAAAAAAAAGAAGAGCTGTAACATTTAGTCACAAAGGCTCATTTACCTATTGAAGCATGTAAAACTAATGTGAAGGGTGTAGCCTAAACATTATTATACCTCAAGATGCTCCATAAGCTGCTTAATACAGGCACAGTTAGGAGCTGAAAAATATTTAACCTATTCAAAGACAAGCCCAAGTAACTTTACCAACTGCTTGATCTCCTGTTGAATTTATCACTCCGTTCGTCTCCATCAGGTTCATGGAATTGGGCCTAGAGAAGAAGTTTGACACACTTACTGCATTGGCATTTTCACGCTTCAGCCCAGCCAGTTTGGAGAAGGTAAAGCGCCTCACCATCTGGGAACCCCTACTTACCAGTGGCAACCCAATACCTGCATTTCCAGCACTCCTAGGCAATGTTGCAATGCTAACTCTTCGAAGGGATGATGATGGCTATACAAATAAGAGGCATTACTGACTCTATCAAGGAATGACTGGATTACTCACTGATCACATAAAATACCATCTGTTTTTATTACAAACTATATTAAAAAAAAAAAAAAGATGTTGATACTTAGCTTGAAGTGACACACAAAGAAGAATCAAATCAAAAGCACAGCCCAAACCATATTCTTTAAAGCAGCATCTTTCCACATTAACCGCTTTTACCCCCCTAAGCAAGCGAGGCTGGATACACAGCTTCCAGCAAAATACCAAAATTGAAGGCATTTAAATTCTCCTAACGGTGCTCACAGGAATTTCTACAGTCAATTTGAATTGCTCCAATCTATTTTTTTCATCTCTCTGTGCTAAACCTGTAGCCCTGGTGAGAGAACCATACATGAAGAATATTTCTTAACTATTGCATGAAAGCACAGCCATTTCAGCTTCTGTGAACACTTAATCTTCTAAGCGGGACCACATGCAGTTCCCTTGGGTTGGTGGCAGTGATTGAAAAATATATCCTTGTGTTTGATGACACCAGCCCATATTTGAGACAGAAAACTACCAAGTCAAGCACATAGCAGAGCACCAGTGCATGACAAGGCAAAAGAAAAACATAAATACACACACGCTTAAAAACACACTTGAAATTTCATGTTAAGCTGTAACGACCATTACCTTAAAGTTAAAAGAATTTGGTAGCTTTTTATTCGTAGATTCATCTGTAAAGAGATCAAACATCAGAAAGGCTTACAAGAATGCAGTGAGCTTTATTTGCAGCCAAACGTCTGACTTTTTGCAGTATCTATTTAAGCAAAGAGTGTATCAGAGTACTCTCAGAAAGCAGAAATGAGATTTCAGGAAAAAGGTTTCTATTTTGTTAGAGAAGTTCATAATATTCACACATTATACATCCTCTGCAAGCATTAATTTCTGTTGCTATCATTAAATGTATTATTCTATTATTGAGGCAGTGTCCTGTTACAGGACGATCTTTTACAGTCAGGAAGGAATAGCCTGTGATTCAGAAGGCTCCTGCAAGGATTTTACCCGCGTGCAAGACTGCCCTTTCTGTTTTCAAAATACATGCTCTATTTTTCAGAAGAATTTAATCCTTCTCTGGCAAAGCCACAAGTACACAGCATCATCTGAAAACCTGACCACTGTACCATCTGCTTAGAGGGGGAAATTCAGAGCACCTGCACTTAAGGAGTTTGTAATTCGTACTTAGAAAAGAGCAGGAAGCATCTGTAGAGAGCAGTCAAAGCTCAGCTACCCAGAAATAGCTACTGGGAGTGCTCCAGTGTGAGTGAGCGCCCAAATTTACTGCTCACAAGGAATAAGATTATCACCACTACATGCAATGCACTTTTCTAAAAGCCAGAACGTTACTGCATACTTGCAATGTTTCCCCCCCACCCCGAGATTCATGACAGTTTACATACAAGTCTAATTTCAGAGAGTTGTTTCTAATACTGTTAGTAAATGGCTATTTTTTCCTCTATTTTTAGGAAAGGAGATACAATAGTCATATAACCCCTCCACCTAACATGTTAAGCTTCAATTAGATAAGGGTCTATCTAGCAGGTGCTAGAAGGTGCTAGAAAGAGGAAAGGCAAAGCAGCTTTACCTCGATCTCCAAGAGAACTAAAGGATCTCTCATTCTGGAGCAGGACCTGTTTCAGCTCCTCAAGTTCTGCGTGTTCTTTTGCATACATGCGCTTCAGGTTTTCCACATGTTGAATCATTACTTCCACAGCCTTGCTGACACGGTTCTCCTAACAGAGCGAGTGCAACAGCAGTATGAAAAAGAAGCGGCTCTTTGAGGAACTGCATCATGTTTCGAGTTTAAGATTTTTTCCCCCCCTTAACCATCTACTCTCACCTTGTATCACCATGATGCAACATCCCCTCATTTTTGTCCACTCGTTCAAACTACAACCCATCTCTCAACAGATGCCCAAGTTACACAGGTCTCATTTCTCCAGTGATTACTCTTATCCTAAAATAAATTAGTCTTCATTTTCTGAGCCCTTACAACTCCTCCTCATCTCTTTCTCTGATCTACAGTCTCAGCTGCCACCACGCATTTGCTAGTATTGCCAAGTCATATTTTCATGCTGTTGTTTGGCATTATACACAATTACACATAACATTTGAGCAGGTCTTTGTAAAAATAGATGTAACTTATTAGTTGCCCTTTCTGTAAGGCACAGAATTACCATTAGAGCATCAAGACTATTGTTACCACATTGCATTCTTGTGCTCTCTACTGTATACGTTCCTCTGACGCAAAGTTTTTTGTGGATTTTTTGGGGTTTTGGGCTTTTTTTTTTATTTTAAATAAGGACCATTTTTCTGTTGTGTGTTTTTGCACAATGCTAGTGCAATGTAGCTGCTCTCAGTGCCTAGGATTCCTTATAACACCACAGACAGTGATCTGAGAAGAGAAAGCCAGAACTAAGCTGTACTGGTCAGTTTGCATTACATACAGGAGATTCCCAAACTTAATTCTGGAATCGGAAGCCTAGCAAACAGACACTGCTATCCCTTTACATCTAGGGGCTTTTAACTTTGTACAAAATACATTTACATGGAAACAGTTACCTGATTAATAGCTCCCAGCATCTCTGCTCTACTGGCGACTCGGGCTGCATACTGGCTAAGGAACTGCAAGCTTTTCTGCAACTTCTTAATAATCTCCTGCGCTTGGTTATCTTCTTCACACAAAGGAACTAAAGCCTAAGAGGCATATTGGTAAGAAAACTGGTGTGAGCTATTAGTAGAGAAAGAAGGGTGAACCCCACTGAAGGCACTGAGGGGTTGTGTTCATGCCCACACAGTCAAAAGGTCACATCCAACATCCTCAATCAGTGTAACTTGATACAGACCTCCATATTTCTCATATTTCAACTGCATCACTTAAGGACTTTGTTCAGATTTGCTTATAATGTTTTACACACACATGCACACATCCTAAAAAGAGCCTTAGTAAGAGAGACACTTTCACAACTGTTCATCCCATCCACCCTACCGGCCTTGGCCAATACTAACCTCTAGCATCTTTAGAGCATTTGTGATCTCCTTTTTCAAGTTTTCTTCAGCCAAGTCTCGAGACCTTTCTTCAAGCCTCACTCTCTTGTCCAAGGTAAACAAGTCACATTTAAAACCTAAAGACAACCTCAGAAATTCAGCCTGTTGTGGGAGAGGAAAAGATTTCAGAATAATTCAAGTGATGCAGAAGCTTTTACAGTAGATTTGGATACTGACATGACATTTGGGACTATACCCCACGAACAAAGTTATAGGAGAGATACAGAAGAGAAAGCAAACATGGCCCACTTCCACAAAGCCAGTCTTCCCATCTGAAGGGAGAAATAATCTGCAGCCAGAATAGGTGATATTCTGGCAACACGCAGTGTGCCATCTGTGTCTTTTGACAAAACTGTCTTAAATCAGCACATTCTGCCTGGGAGGAGGTCACAGCTATGCTCCTTCAAGCTTGCAAACAAATGATTTAGTAATGACAAATCTTTTGTTCAGTTTTACAGATTGCCACCTTTTCCCATCCTATCCCTTCCAAAATTTCCATTGGGCTTGGAAAGACAGATTTCAGAAGCCAACTTATCGAAATACAGTTTAAGCTACTCAGCATCATTCTTTTATATACGACAAGATATTAATAAGGGCGTATCAACAAGATCTTTCTGTTGTCCGAGATACTTACGGATACAAGCAGTCGAGACTTACCTCCACTTCTTTCTCATTAGGAGAGTCACTGTAGGATAAGAAGAAGCAACCATGTAACAGACCACAGCTTTAAATTCATACCTGCAGGTGATCATTGAAGGTCAAAACACTTACGGCTCATTTTGCTTTGTTTTATCTGCTTTAATGCCGCCTGCAGTAGGTGAACTCCCTGAGAAGAGAGAAAAAAAGTTCTTAGACAAAAGTGAAAAAACAGCTTCCCAAAAACAGCGTGTGAAAGTCTTAAGCTCCAACAGAAGCCACTGTTAAAGATTTCCAGTGTTAAGCTCTTGCCAGTAAAAACAACTTGTGTACCTCAGGGTACATTAGGGTTAATGTCAGTAAGACAGCACAGCACTGTCACTTGTACAAAGGCCCAGAAATTAGTTGTTTAGCTGGCTTCAACTGGCATTTAATTAGTACAGGAATGGTTAATTATAGGTTTTGGTTTAAGTCCCCAGCCCATAGGTTCAGGATGTTAGGTGATACTACAGGATGCTACATCACTAACTTTTGGTGAATTCCAAAGGCAAAAGGTGAGGTGCTTAGAAGAGCAGGGATGCCTAAGCACAGGGATGCCTAAGCTTATCTATATCATGTTACCCCAAGCCCTAGCTAGCATAGGGGATGCTGCTTTACAAATCTGTGGGGAGAGCAGGCATACCAGAACTGTTTCAAATATACCAACTCCTTTGCAACTCCTAAGAAATTTTCCCTCCTGTCTAGAGGAAGATGGAGCTGGTTAGATCAGTATCTGTAGAAATCGGAGAAGCAGGTTTTGCATGATAACATTTTCCTTCTCTCCACCTCTAATCCATTTTGATCTCTAACTGCAGCTACTATTCCTTAAAACAAAAACCCCTCACAATAATTGGTGTGGGGCAGGCAGCTCTCCGCACCTCTTTACGCAGGTCTTGACACAAGTGACCAAAGCATGCACTCCAGTGAGTTACACGAGTGTGTTCAGCAAAAACCTCTTACCTTTCCTACTGGGAACCACAGCTGGTGCTTCCTCACTCTGCTCTTTATTATTTTTCTTTTCCTGGCCCACCTCCTAAAGGCATATCAGAGAGTAGTTATAGCAAGGGAACAGCCACAACACCACTGGAGGGGCCTGTCCCCTCCTGCAGTGTTTTTCTTTGTCACTGCTCAGCCAGAGCAGTTCTATCTTTCACTGTCACTAGGACTCCTACCGGGTCTTGCTTTAAAATGTTTTGAAATGCGGTTTTTTGTTCTTCCATCACGGGACAGAATTCCTTCTTGGACAGATCCACACCTGGGGAGAAACATTCCCAAAACCAAATGTAACGATAAAAACAAAACAAGCCTCTAACACCCAATGTACTAGCCATGGACCAACAGAGCTGAAAGAAATTGCAGCATGTGCCAGGAGAGGCCATTAAGAAGGAGAAGCAGCAGCAAAGAACGCTATAAAGACATAAAGAAAGAAGTGTGATGATAATTATGTTTGGCTTGGAAAAAGTCCCAATAAGAAGTGTTATATGTCTACAAGCGAGAATATTACTCCCGGTTGTAGTTGCTCTAGTTGAAGTTGCAAGAGTTATAGTAATATTCCCTTGGACAAAAGAATTTCATTATTTTGCTACCAGCATGGGGTGGGGGTTTTTTTGTTTGTTTGTTTGCTATTGAAGAGACAGTTTATAATTAATTTTTATTTGGAATTCTATAAGCACAGGAATATGTAAAAAAAAAAAAAATCCCATGCACAAACTAATAGGAGACGTGATGAGTATTTGTAATTCTCTCACGTTAAGGAATATCCGATGATGTCAAGCAATAGATGCTACTTCAGCTGCTGTTACAGAGGAGCTTGAGCACAACCAGGTCATGAAACGCATACAGTTGTGGTATTTCAGGTGTCCATAAGCTTCAAACATAGTCTGACACTTGGACTGCCCTTTGTACCCAAAATCTGAACTAGCAGGGTGTTGATAGAGCCACAAAGTAACTTTCTTTCCCAGAAGATGAGTGATGATGAACTGATACATTCTGGAACTGATGATGCCCGTTCAAATGCAACACAATCTTTCAAGTACTGCAATTTAGAAAAGCTTTAAAGCAGGCAAAAATAACCTTTAGGAAGACAGCTATTAAAAAGATTTAAAAAGGGAAATATTTAAGAAACTGAAGAAAGTCTGACAGCCAGACTAATTTCTTGTGTAGCAGTAACTCTGGTAGCTATTTATACCTTTTAGAACATCTAGAATTTTTTTTTTCTTTTCTGTTTAATTTAGTCATACACACACACCCACACAGATGCAAGCCAAAGAAACGGCACAGGAAAAAAAAAACCAAACTAAACACCACACCTTCAGGTTTGAAGTGCTTTCTCTTTTCATCTGTCACATGAACAACAACCTCTGCTTAGCACTCCCTTTTGTCCCTGCTGATTTTTGCAGCAGCCCTGCATATCTGACCAAGAACCTTTAGAAGAGACATTGTGTGGTACTAGCAAAAACCACAAGTGGAGATTCATCAGCATCATTCTAATACTAGAAACACTTTCTATTCAGAGGTGTACAACAGGCAGCAGGATTCTCAGACTTTAAAGCTATTTGGACTCTTTCTGATCTGTTTTGCATATCTGTTTCCTCCTTGCCAAAGGCACCTAAGACCACATATGAAAACTAACAGTAGAGGCAAATTAGTAGCAAGAAAATACATTTAAGTGAGGGGACTAAATTAGATTTCAGGAAGATAGTACTAAAGAAAGAAACAAAACCAAACAAGAAATGATGACAAAAAGTTTTATATTTAGGTAAAGGTTAAAAAATGGTAACAAGCATGCACATGTATTCTGTGCTGCTTATTCAGATCAGCTTTTTCAAAAATAGCTTAAATACACTGTGTACACATACCCCGGTTTTGTTTTGCTTTTAGTTTTTAAGTGGAAGAAGCACCAGCAGATCTGGCAAGAATAGTTCTTCTGGGTGTTTATGGCTATATCGAAAGACAGAACCATACACAAAGGCCTCTATCCTCATCTCTCCTCTCAACCCATCCCAGCTTCTTGTGTGCTGAGCATCAGTTTTGAAAGAGAGGAAAGTGTTATTTAGTCTGGCTGTGTCACTGAACTTTTTAAAGCCATGAAAACATTCTCTCTCCTCCCAAAATTACCTGCGGCTTAGTACCCACACAATGTTTTGCCAGCTGAGCAAGCATCAAGATTTTACTAAGTTATTTCATGTTTACTTCTTGCAGTGCTGTAGGCTACCGGCCTCCTGCAAGTAGGTAAAGTCTTATTCCTACTCAGAGTTTCAGGAAGGGTTGAGAGCACTCGCAGGCAAAAGTATGTCCAACAATAGAAAATCACAAGTTATCGTTTAGTTACTTTTCTTACTCAGCTTCCTCACTTCAAAGATGTGCTGGAAGCAAGACGTTTCCTCAGTGCGGGTGTGCAGGTGCACTGCAGCAGTTACTGTACCTGATACAGGACCAGCCGGATCCTTATCGTTGTTTTTCTCCATTGCTACGGAAGTTGGCACATCTTCCTCTTTTTCACGTGAGCACTTAGGTGATTTTTTCTCCATAACAAGGCAGCCTATGAATTCAGGCAACAGAAGACAGAGCTCTTAGCGTTCAATAAATGCACAGACTTGAGCATATCTATTTCCAAGGCTTTCTGTGCAAAAAGTTCACACGTCTGCCCCAAATTAAGGGCTTACCTGTTACTGGTGCAGTGCTTTCCAAAGAGGATGTAAGAACTTCTTGGGGTGAAGTTAAGTGATCACTGCCAAAATAAAATTCTTTCAGATACTCATCCATATTATACAATCTTGATGAAGGCTTTTAAAAGCTTGCACAAAACCTGACCTGGATGGGATCAGACTGGCTGGTAGTGTTGGCTCTGCACAGTCGATCTTAATGAAAAGAGAGAGGAGTTAGTATCAGGGAAAGCGTTACCATGTGAGTAGAAAATTTGTATGTCAAAGTTTTAATAATTCCCCCAGCTGTGCCTAAATTATTTCGGCTGTGAAGAACTAGATGGCAAGTGCGTGCAGATTCATCTGGTAGTCTAAAGCCACCCATATATACAGTATGTAGCTTAGCATGTTATCATCATTAGGAGCGATAACCATGTTTCTGCAGAAATCTTATCTCAGGAATATCATACTTAGAGATGTATTTTGGTTCCTGACTTCATGTTTTGCTTCTAACACACATTTTCAGAAGACCAACGTACATGTTACCACACCACTGTTCTATCTTAATGCTGTGCATCAAGATATATCCATTTTCAAGGTCTTGACCTCAAACCCCACAAGTGAGGTGCACAGAGCTTCACTCAGCTATAGATGTCAGACTCGCTTAGATAAAGAAAAGTGTTACTGTTAACCGCTCGACCAAGCAGATGATTGGAACACAGAAAACTTTCATGTTGTGTTGTACATTTTAGCGTGTGTCTTTGAATGACACTAGTTTTCAATATTATGTATAACAATTACCTAGCCAGTTCAGAAGGCTTCAGGCCTCCTCCTTTGTATGTAAACAGCAGAGGAATTCAGCAGTTAAAGGCTAGTACGTAGTTTTGCTCATGTTCCTTTAGCCGCTACAGTGCGATTCTAGACCAGAGTCTTCTCACATCACAGACAAAACCAACATCCTCTTAAGTCTTTTAATATGGCAAGGGAGATACTGAATGGGAAATATCCTTCTTCCTCGTTTCACTCTGGATAACTCCAGCTTGCTTATTCAATTGATAGATTGGTCTCTCTTTATGGGTGAAAATACAGGGTGAAACAGAGGTTTAAAGGGTTAAGTCAGTAATGACTTGTGATGAAATCCACCCACTGCTGAAGAGGAGTGCTGAATAGAGGAAAAAAACCCAAACGTATCTCCAAGCAGAGAAGGTATGAAGCTAGCCAGCTTTGGGTAGCTCCCTACATATCAAGTGTCCAAGAACACTATTGAAGCGGGGGGACACAACAGAAAAACCGTATCAGCGAGTGATCATCTATGTTCTGGTATCTTCCATTTCCCCTCAAACATCCTCAGAGGACCCAGGAAACCCAGCAAAGCTGAAAAGGTGACCAAGGCCCCCTGTCACTTCCGAGAGCAACCGACTGCTCCCAGCATCAGTAAGTGCCTTATCTCTCCTCTCCACTCCTCCACCCATCGGAGTTCGACTGCACTCACAGAGCCTTGCCCCAGCCAGCCGGATGTTTCCTCTAATGCAAATCCAGGCTATTTTTATTCTTATTTGAATTCTCTATTAAGCTTAATGAAGTACAGCATTTCATTTGCCTTGTTCAGACCATTAGGTCTACAGGAGTATTGGAGAAGAAGGTGAAAATGAATAGCATGTTGGAACGAAAACAAGAGAAATCTAAATGGCTTTTAAAACAAATACACACACCCCACACGCACCACCCAGCAAACAAAATACCTTGCATCACCTGGAACTGACTAAAACAATACATCATTCTACATGCCCTCTGCCTCCCCAGGTAATTGCACGGTCAGTGCTTTCTGATTGCAATGAAGGAGAAACTTCAATTCAGTTTTTAAAACCCCATGCTGGCTATTAGGATTGTGAGCTCCCATGGATTGCACAGGGTACACTTAAAGAGAAAAAACACCACCACCACCACCCCACATTCTAGATTTCCTAAGAAAATCTGTTTCCACAGGACATTAGAGAATGGTTCTTCTTCTTAATAAGAGGAATGTGTCAAAGAAGTTCCTGCAGTACAATCTTAATCACTGTTTCCCCCTCCATCCCTTCAATTCGCATAATAATCCAAGGATCCTCTATCACAGCAGACAAATTCTGTCCACAGTCTTGTATAACTCCTCCCAAACAAGCATTAACATTTGGAAGGCCTATCATCTGGTTTTTAGACTGTGATACAACTTTCACATTTATAAACCAAAACAAGTATAAAAAGCCCAAGCTTCATCTGGCTCTCACAAGAGCTCCTTTATTAAATAGCCCCTGAACTCCTACAGTGACAACACCTTGACAAAATAATTTGAGTTACTTACATGCTGAAGGGCTCGATCTGCTCAAACACATCTGCAACCACAGTGTAATAATAATAAAAAAAAAACTAGGGAGACTTTTCCTATTAAACAAGGATATTCAAATTTTGCTGCACGTCACAGTTTTTAGAACAGAAACTGGAGACAGCCCGTTTGCCTTTTCTCTGGGGCAAGCTTTAACATTTTAATTTTCCCCCTCTAGAATAGTCACACGGAAAGTTTATATAAAAAAAAAGCAAAAATAGAAAATGACATTTCTGAGCCCAGCTGGAATTACAGAAAGCTCTGGAGCAATGAAGCTCAGGCATTTCAAACAACTTTGCGAAGCTGTGACTTTCCAGAAGGACTGGATAAAGCAAAGGCCCTTGAGATTCTCCTCTTTAAGGTAGCTTAAGTAGTAGCAGCACAAGCTAGGAGTTCCTCACCTGCTCTACCCCAGCCGAGCAGTGTGTTGAAACCACAGGCAGTCCCCATCACTCTTACTTTTTACCCTCACTGCACTTTCTGCCTTGATTTGCCGCTACAACCAGACCACTGCTGCACTTGCAGCACGCACCAGCTAGTGTAGGTCTGAGGTTGCCTGCTCATCAGTCTTGCAAAGGTTATTTCCAGGTTCACAGAAACCGCTGACCAATATTCTTCCATCACCACCGCCAACACCAATACTGGAGTTTGTAAAGCTAATTAGAAACCCTGTGTGGCAGGGCTGAGGTCTAGATTTGAATAGTGAGTATCGTGGCACTGAGCACAGAGCACAACTAGGTGTGCTGAGCTGCAGCTCATCTTGCTGCTGCCACGAGAAAGCTGACTGACAGCTCAAGCTGTAGATGCAGGATTCAATACAGCAGCGAAGGCATATCTGAGCACGTCAGCTGAGGAAAGTTTTCGTACAGCAAAGATATCGTTTTTCAGCTGTTACATGGTAGCTGTGGGACAAAGTGCAGAGAAAGGCAGCTTTCACAACTAAAACGTCCTGTGGCTTCTTGCAGGTGGATAAAAAGAGCAAAAATCACTCACTGGCAGAGTTCAGTATTGCTGCAGAAACAGCACTGTCTCAAGCCTGTTTAAAATACAGCTAAAAGCATGACCCAGATGAACATCAAGACGTTTAGGTCTGTAGCTACAGTATGCCAGCGGTGTGCCCAAATAAAGGGACTTCCCCACACAGAACAAGATGTCACTGCACCCTGCTGACTGATGCCAGCTCCATTCACCTTGGATTAGTGCTGATTTAGAGCTGCTCAATCTGGATCCGAGTAAGGCACTAAATGCTTGAACCTGTTCAAAACCACATCTCAGGCATCAGAGACAGCACTCACCTCCGTAAGTGAAGAGTCCATCATTGTAATGGAAACGGGAAGGTCTGCATCAGTATAGTTACCAGCAGAGAATATTTTCCACCTGGCAATACACATTTTATTTGCATATTGCCCAAACAACAGTGAGATATATTGCCCATTTTCCTTAAGCACATAACAACTGAAGTCACCACTATCTGTATAGTCAGACAGCCGGTCTCTCCGAAAAAGAAAAATTCATCACTAACATCAATCCCTCCTCCCCCGAACAGCAAGAACCACTACCAGTCCTTCTCCCAACCTCCTCCACACTGCATAGCTCTGCAGAAAACCAGTGGCAAAAGCTTCAAGAGCTGCTGAGTCTTTTGCTGCAGACTGCCTGCCCCTGCATCTTCAGGAACATCCTTATCTTTTAAAATATTCACTGACAATAGTAAGCTATCTTTCATAATCTTAAGCTGTTCAATCTCTATTTTAAAGAGCTAAGGAGACAGCTTGATAAGCAAAGACCTCAGAACTGCTCTAAACTCTGCAAAAAAAAGGTGTGACTCCTCAAAGCCAATAGGATTTTGGCTCCTAAATGGGAGTGTCAGTTGTGAGTTGAATACTGAAAATAGACACAAGAACGCCTACATCATGCCTCAGTTCTCCAGCATGAAATGGAAACACCATCACTGTATTTGGCTGGTGGTCATACCAACAGTTTCAGTAAAAAGTTTTAATATTATTTTTGTGAATAGAAGCAAAGCGTTACCCTGTAACACCATTAGTTGATCACCAAGTGTCCAGTATTTCCTATAAGAGATGCCCTGCTGTTGAACTCAGCATGTGCTGGGGATACAGCTTTCCCTTGGAACCTGCTAGATTCTGTGGATTCTTCCCACCCTCCACCCAAAGAGGTTATTCTGCCATCTTACCTGCACCCTACTGACGTCACATCTGAAGTGGATGCGTGTCCCAGATCGCAGCTTTCAAAGGTGCCGCTGCCGGAGCTCTGCCTACAAGGCTGATCCCAGTCATGCACAGGAGAGTTATTTGGGCATGAGGTTTCCAAGGTCAGAGCATCTGTTAAGAGAGACAAGCGTGAAGAGTGGCTGTCATTGGCAAAGTTGGATTTAGTCACCTGGCAATTTTTGACTAAGTCTAAAATAATCAAGAAGCAGACCAACCAAATACAGATTTATAATAAGGCAGCCTCCGTCTTGGTGTGAAAGGGTTAGGTTACGTGGCCTTAACATATCTTGCAGATGGACAGTGTGCA